TATTTCGAAAGAAGTTCTGATGATTCCAAATTATTTCTTCAAACGCCAACCAAAGATGTATTTGACGAAGCGAAATACGACTTTTATCTATACATACAGATCAAAAGACGGAGTGCAAATATGATTTCTTTTTCCCTTATTCGTTTCACGACTTCTAATTCACTGATGATAGTGAGAATATAAAAAAACAATCATATTTATTTTATCCATTGCATCTGACCAGTGATTTCAATCGCATTATTGGACAATGACAACAATCTTATTATTCGTAGTACTTCTATTATTCTATCAAATACCAGTTGAAGGTGACATTGATTTAAGTAAATTTAATTCGACTATTGATGAACTTCCATATTTGTGGTCATATTCAACGATTGATCAAGTAAAACTCTGTCTCGAAAGCATACCAGCGAACAATTCTCTTATGAATGAAACAATTATTCAACTCATTAGATTTTTACAGCTTTTTGAGTTTGATTCGTCAAAGGGTGTAGGTGTGGGTGAGGGTGTGCGTGGGTGTGAATATTCTCTTTATCCACATTCACACAACTCCACCCCACCCCCACACTCACACTCACAACCACCCTTCGAAATTTAGGTGTGAAAAAAGACCCAAATTGTTTTCCTGTTGAGAACGAATACAGAACACTCAGAAGTAGGATATGTCTATGACTGTCTGAGTGTGGATCTTCTTTCAACTCACATTCACTCTACACTCTTATTTTTTTACGGAACAAGTGTGAATGACTAAGGTATTAACGGAAAATAATACATTAATAAAATGAAATGGTAATAAACAACGATGATTAACTACAAATTCATATATAAATGAAAAAATTAAATATGAATAATATCATGCTATAAAGTTCGCGAGTATATTAGTTAGATTGCTTCTCTTATTTGTCGTAATGCAATCATTATAGAATTATGCAATAAATCATGAGAAGTCCCTTTCACTAATGAATCTAGAATGATTACACTAACACTTCATGTCAAATAAGTTTCTAAATTTTCAATTAAGTTAATTAATGAAAAATTTCAATGAAGAAGTTCACAAAAGATTGGTTGCAAAGATACTACTTTTCCATTGTTATGTGGAGTGGGTGAGAGTATGAAAGTCTTCTTCATGCTAGCACTCACATCCACCATATAATACCACCAAGTAGTCACAAATCTATTTCCTACTTTACAGTTTTAACAATAAAAACCAAATGATTGAACCTCAAAAATAACAAATATAAATATCTGAAACAAAAACAAAAAGGTATGAAAATTATAAACTAAAAAAAACATGCATCACCACACTGAATATTATAAGCTAAATAATTCACGAAGTAGAGAGCATCACGAAAATTAGTATTTTTCTTCAAAAAAAAAGTATTGAATAATTGTAACGTATTAAGTGCCATTTATTTTTTTCCACATTTGAAAATAAATAGAAGCGGTTAGTCAACCATGGTCAACTAAAACATTAAAGAAGATCTCAAGACACGTTTTTGTCTATTTCATTTACGCATCTAAACTAAACTTTAGACGCATAAGCCGTCTTGTAAGACACAAGGCATTTTTACAGTGAATGTTCTGTCGTGATCCTTCATAGCTGCCTACGTCTCTAAGGAAACAAACTTCTCAGTGAAATTTATCTGAAAGAAAAAGCACTTCTTCTAAACAAAAGTAATGCTAAATTGTGTCTTGTCTTATCTTCATTAAGAATAAATTTGAATTTCGTTAAATTTTCTTATTGCTCAAGCTTCATCTGTAGATGCCGATAGTGAGAAAAGTGTATCTGTTATCGATAGGTCGAATAGTTAGACTTTTCTGAGAAGCAGTACACCACTACACTAGACGATAGTTCAACTAAGGGTGTTGGTGTGGGTGTGGATGTGGATGTGGGTGTGAGGTGTGAGGTGTGGGTGTGGGTGTGGGGTGTGGGTGTTTTCATCATGAACAATCACACCCACACCTCACCCACACCCACATCCACACCCACACCCACCCATACCCCACACCCTCAAGATACAAAACCATAATAAAACATTATGCTAGTAAATACTAACATCTGACTAAAAATAATCATTTAAACGATAAGTGTTCATTGGAAATAAACACAATGAAATAGCATCCAAGCACACGTTTGTCGATAAGTAAGATTTATCGTTCAAGTGGTGAGATTTTTTTGAACATAGCCACAAGCAATACATGCCGTATAAGCTTTCATAAATAGCAATAAGTGACCAGTGAAATGGTAAATATGTTGTTGAAAGTACACTTCATACAACATTGTAAGAACACGCATCTACGAATAACAAAAACTGAACGTTTAAACAGTAATAATACCCGAAATCAAACAAGTTCATAAATTCGTTCAGAAAAAGTCTAGAAATGGTGACTCTTTTTCTTTTTGCCGGATAATATTAAGTGAATAAAAAACGTACAGAATTTACTGTTGCCATTACCGTTCTATATCCATTATTTGTTCGTTCAAACGGATGACTCTTATGAATGAAATGTGAGATTGTTTTTCTGAATAAGAAACTTATGAGTCTACATGCTTTCTGAGCATTTAAACGACCACAAAGGGTTTGGAGCACTGTGGAGAAAAAGATATGAAAGATAAACGGAAGAAAATTTCGGTTTTTGCCTGATTTAACGGTTGTAACATGAAGTTGTGGTTTAAACGCTGAGAAAGTTTCACTTTAATTTGTTTAAACGCTTAAAAGTATTGGATGTAATGGAACTGAACGTTTTTATTGTAGAAGTACCTAGAAAATCTCCGTTTACACCTCCAGTTTTTTGAAAACGCGTAAAAATGCTATAATAGGTCAATTTTCGGTGTTTTCACGCGTTTCTGACGATTCTTGTCTGCTTGGGTAGTAGGCGACCATCAAGGGAAAGCACTGACCATTGTAGTCCTTGGTATCAGTCGAAAGTGTTTGTAAAAATAATTTTCCTATATATAGTTTTATAGCGCTTTTCACGGTTTACAAGCGCTCAGCATATTCGATCGTCTTATCTTTAATAGGGAAAAATGCGACTTTTTGATGATCCACCATTGTTTTCCACGGGTAGTGGCCGTTGGTGAATCTTTGAATCCATAGGTATCTACCAGTAAATCCAATCTGATTCCTTCAAAATCTTATGAAAACAAGATTTATGATATATCATTCGACGCGCCGCAATTTGCTCTACGACATGGTGTGTTTGGTTTTTTAATTCTGAATAGGTTACCAAACTCGGCATGGTCGATCCTTTTTAAAATTTTTAGAACTTTTTATCCTATATTGTTCATTCTAAAGCAATACAACTGTTATTAAAAATTCATTAGTAAATGAAATAATCTTCATGTAATGAAATTATATTGAGTATCTGTCGGAAACAAAAACTCGTCTTCATAATTCAAATCACATTGAAAGAAAAAGGCTTTTCGAAACCTCTTTAAACAATTCAGATAACAACAACATTTTCGGCATACTTGAAGAATTTTCGAAGTAATGTTGCTATCAGAATGTATATTACAACTACCGAACCTATCCTTATGCAAAAATCCTTTTTTTTTTGAAAAGTATAATTACGGCCTCTGTCGATGTGTTAGCTTTTTATTGGGTATTATATATTCTCGAATACTATGTATGTAAGCCATACCATCTTCATTTAATTGACTTTGTCAAGAAGAAAAGATGTGAAGTTAGATATTTGTTGACTGATAACATCATCTAGTTCTTTATCCATATCATAAGTATATATCGTCATTATTTTGTTTTTTATTTAGTTTTATTTTAGACAAATAAAATGAGTATAGCTTATTTAAGCACAGGCGCTCTGAGCGCTGGTGTTGGTTTACTATTGTATTCTGGTATATATTGAATTTATTTAGAAAAAAAAAATTGAATTTTTTGTTTTTTTGATGATAGGTTTAACTTATATGTTAACAAATTATGGTTTTCGATTTGATATTGGTTGGTTTCTTCTATCGATTTCACCTTATCAATGGGCATTAGTTGGCATTGCTCTAGCCGTTTCATTATCTGTTCTTGGTGCTGCTTTGTAAGAATTAATAATTAAATTTACTTAAAAATGATCAATAAATAATAATTTTTTTTCTTTTGATAGAGGCATTTTTGCAACTGGTGTGAGCATATTGGGTGGTGGTGTAAAAGCACCACGTATTCGAACAAAAAATCTTATTTCAATTATAATGTGTGAAGCTGTTGCTATCTATGGACTTATAATGGCTATTGTTATTTCTGGTTCAATATCTGTAAGTAAATGAATGATAATGATATTTAATTTAATTGTTGTTTAATTTCTTTTTTTTTGTAGAGTTTTCAAACAACAAAAATTGATGAATTAGCTCATAAATATCGTGCTGGTTATAAATTATTTGGTGCTGGTTTATCTGTTGGTTTATGTAATTTATTTTGTGGTATTTGTGTTGGTCTTGTTGGATCTGGTGCAGCTTTAGCTGATGCACAAAATTCATCATTATTTGTTCGTATTCTTATTATTGAAATATTTGCTAGTGCAATCGGTCTTTTTGGTCTTATTGTTTCTATACTTCAAGTAAATATTTTAAAAATACAATTCTTGAAAAAACAAAAAAATTTTTATTTATTTCTAGCAAAATGGATCAAATTTGGCCGATTAAAATTCTGACAACATTTTCATTCCGATATCCAATAATTATTTTATTTATTTATTATTATTTTTTCTTTTCATTCGTAATATAATAAATCTATAAATGTATAACTATCTTTATTACAATGCATTTCACATAATCTATGTGTTACTTTATCATCATAAAATAAAATTTTTCTTTCCTTCTTTGAATCTTTTGCATGAGAAAAAAAAGAGAGTATGTCTATAAAAAATAATAATAACAACGAATGGTCGATGTTTTTTGTTTTTTTTCTTTTTTGAAAAATAAATAAAAGATGAGAATAAAAACAAACAAACAAAGAAAAAAAAAGTCGACTACTGTACATAATTGTATTAATATGCTATTAATTAAAATGAAAACGAAAAGTAAAACCTTGTCCATTTCCACTACCAAATGGATTAAAACCATGAAAAGGATTATGTTGTTGAGCTTGTTCTTCAGCATCAAGAGGATCATCACCAGCATCGAATCTAGCACGTTTTTCTAAATAAAATAAAAAAATATATTTCTTTCTATCGAATTAATTAACTTAAATACAAACCTTGATCAGTTAAAACTTCTTTTGCTGCAGCTATATCAATAAACATTTTTTCTGCTTTTTTCTTATCATCACCTTCATATTTATCTGGATGCCATTTAATAGCAAGTTTTCTATATGCTTTTAAAATTTCTGCTTTATTAGCTGTACGTCTTACACCTAATATTTTATAATAATCACGTTTTTTTGATTGTTTTATTAATTTTTCAACACGTTTTATTCCATCATGTACACGATTTGAATCTTCTATTTCATGTGCATGTTTAAAATCATTTAATGCAGCTTCATAATTTTCATTTAATATATATGCTTCAGCACGACTAATTAAAATTTCAGCATCCGTTGTATGATATGTATCTAATACTTCTGTACATAATTTAATTGTATCTATTGCTGGAAATTTTCCACGTGACATACATGTACATAATGATGAATGTGCACGATAAACAAATATTGATGATGATGAATCTGAAGATAATTTAAGAATTTGACGAGCTTTTTCAATACAATCATTCCAATTTGATTGACTTATTGCATCATGTATAATTTCTAATTGTTTAGCTAATTTTTTAACTTTAATATAATGTGTATGACATTCTTTATGATCAGGATCTAATTTAAGACATTCACGAATATTTCTAGAAACAAAAAAAATATTAAAAAAAAAAAAAAAGATAAAAATTATTTATTTTACGTTAAACTATCATCAGCATCACCCATTAAATAAAGTAATTGACTTATTTTAAGAAATGCTTGTGTATTATCAGGTATTAATTTTGATGTAGCTTTAAGATCATTAACTGCTTTTGATGTATCACCTGATGTTAAATAACTATTAGCACGTAATTCACGTAATTTTATTGACCATGGACAATGCTAGAAAATAATTTTTATTGATTTATTTTTTTTTAATAATAATAATCATTTATATTTGTTTATTTAACAAATTTATATAGAATTAGGTTAGTATAAAAAAACATTCATTAGAATATATGAACTGTGATTAATACAATGTGTATACTTTTCCTATAAGTAGGATCTACAAGTCTTTCTTTCAGAGTGATGAATATTCTTTCAAGCTTATTACTTATTTGATCTGAAGCTTCCTCTACATATAGTCCTTATGACCCTTTATAACAACCAAAATTTCATAATCAAAACGAGTTGCTTCTTATGCGAGAAACACTTTTGTCACCAAAACCAACTATTCTTGAAAACTTAATTTCTCAAGAGAGAAACATTCATTATAAAGACCATGAGATCTATATGTTGGCATCATTTCAGATCGAAATTTTATACATTGAGTTTTCGATAAATCTGTTATTACAACTGATAAATGTAGTAAAATGCTCATAACTCTGAAAGAATGATAGATGAGTTCAATGTATAAGAAAAACTTCAGCACAAGACAAAAACTAATAGAAATCAATAATAGAGATTGCAAAATAATCTTATTCTATTTGCAGAATGTTTCTAATTAAAATGAATATCTTTTATCAATCTAAAAAATCTATATTCATATTAATCTTAGTTTTGTACTATACTCTAATATATATAACCATTAATATCTGAACAGCATCAATTTACTTTATTATCAAAAATTAATTTTCATAACTCATCTATAAAAATAAAAAACAATAATAACCATCATTCTCATATTATCATGCGAACAGCCAAAATAAATAAGATGATTAATTAACATCTACATCTCTATTTATTTAATCAAACTACTTCACTAAAAAAAAAAGCTGTTACCGTAATTCGTGTGAGATTAAAATATGAACCATCTTTTTTACTTAATCCTTCAAAAAAAAATACAATCCGAGAGGTTATTGATATACGATCTACGGATTGTTATTTTTTTTTTTTGAACTTGCTTAAAAAAAGCCTAACAAATTCAAGTAATATAAATAAACTAACCTCAATAACATCTGAAAGAAGTTCAATAGTTTTTATATGATCATTATTTTTATAAAAATTTTCTGCTTGTTGAACTTTTTGATTCATTTGTTCAGTTAAATCAAATTGATGATGTGCTTCACTATTTGATGAATCTAATTTTAACTAAATATAAATTAAAATTTATGTCGAAATAAAGAAAAATAATTTATTAAAATTTATATACCACATTTTGAAAATCTATTTTAGCTTCATCAAAATCACCTTGTTTTAATAGAACATTTCCTCGTTGCATACGAGCCTAGAAAAAACTTAAGAATAGAAAATAAATCTATTCTTGATGAGAAAATCAAAAAAAAAAATTCCTTACAGCAATAAAATCTGGTTTAAGTTCAATAACTTTACTTAAATCTGGTAGTGCTGATTTTGATTTTCCCATTGCTAAATAAACTGTTGCACGACGAAAATAAGCAAGATAATTTTTTGGATCGACATCTAAACAAAAAACAAAAAATATATATATTATTAAATATATATTTTAAATTAAATCTTACCAATAGCTGAATGAAATTGTGATAAAGCATCTGATAATTGTCCAGTAGCTAATAATTTTTTGCCTTTTTCTAAATAATCATTAACAATATCACTTGTTTTTTTTTCATTTTCATTTCCTTGAACATCTATTCGATATAGAAAAGAAATGTTTCATATAAAAATACTTATTTTAACTCTTACCAAATATTAATAAATTTAATAGAAGACTAATTATAAATAAATATAATAGAAAATTTCTACATCGAAACGTGAAGTACTCATTGGAGGACATGAATATATATAAAAGTATGTTTTCTTTTTTTCCTATTATCGATTATATGATATAAAACTTATAATTCACACCATAATATTCTATACGGGGACAAAAAAATAGATCGTCATGCAAAAGCGCCGACAAACGTTGTACAAGATGAATGGTTCATATCAACCAATGATTAATAGAATAGCGAAACCTATCAAGATTATAAAAAGAAACTTTTTAAATATTTGAATATTTTGTAGTATTGTTATTATGTTTTGTTTTTTTTTTCTTACATTGTTACAGAAACCTTATATAGAATAATGAAAATTGTTTTGTGACCTCTATCGAAATGAGAGATAACAAGAGATATCTATATATATATATATTCAATTATTCTCTTTGTTAAAGTTCATTTAGTTTGTTTATTTTATTACAAACATTCGGCATGATGAAAAATCAATAATATATGGTGAATAAACTAAAATGCACCAAATATTTTATATATAGTCTTCAAAGTTCTCTGACCGAATGAAAGATATGAAACAAAAGCAACAAAAAAACAAAACTTTTTTAATTATTTTATTCGTATTACATCAACGATTGTTTTTCGTCTATTGATTTAAGCCTTATTTTTTTTTTTTGCTTTCCTTGTACCTTTTTTTTTCTTTCCAATGACATCAATAAGCGTATTTCATTGTGAAGAGCAGTATAATAAAACTGATTATATTGATGATAACCACTCCGATGATAGTCTCTTATTAATGGCTGATGGCATCGAAGAAAAGTCACCCTTATTAGGTATCACTAATAATGGTTTTGTAAGTGGTGAACAAGTTTTATCAAATGATATACCTCTTCAAACACGAGCATCAAGATTACATTGTCATGTACCAGATGATAAATTTGATCATAATGCACGAAATCGTCTTATCGCTGTTTTTATTCTTTGTTTTATTTTTATGATTATTGAGCTTGTTGGTATGTTTTCGTTTATATTGAATTTAAATAGAAAAACAAAAATCTACATATATATATAAATTAGGTGGTGTCATTTCGAATTCAACTGCAATAGCAACTGATGCAGCACATATGTGTATTGATGCAGCCGGTTTTCTTATATCATTAGCAGCCATATATTTGGGTGCAAAACGACCAACAGAAAAACTTTCATATGGTTATTTTCGAGCAGGTTTAATATTTATATATCATAATTTTGAATGGTTAAATACGTTGGAGTTTTTTTTTCTTCAGAGGTTCTTGGAGCACTTCTAAGTGTATTGACTATATGGTTAGCTACTGGTATTCTTGTTTATATGGCAATTGAACGTTGTATTAATCGAAATTTTGAAGTAAAAACAACTGAAATGATAGTCGTTGCTGCATGTGGTGTTGTTTTCAATATAATGTAAATATGAAATATATATTCTTATTATTTAAAATCTTGAAAGATTTATATTCTTTTTGTTTTTTGGTTTATTCAGAATGTTTTTTATCTTACATGCTGATATATGTACTCATGCAATTCCTCATCACGGACATACTCATACTCATAACCATAGTCACTCACATGAAAATTCACCATCAGTAATTCATATTGAATCTGAACATCATCATGATGCAACTTCTAAACAAACAAAATCATCAAAAAATATCAATGTTCGAGCGGCTATTATTCATGTTATTGGTGATTTTGTTCAAAGTGTTGGTGTTCTAGTTGCTGCTATAATTATTAAATTTAAAGTATGTATTAACGATTGAAGTTAATGATATATTTATTTTTAAGATAAATTATTTTAGCCTGAATATAAATTAGCTGATCCAATATGTACTTTTATATTCTCAGTATTAGTTCTTATTACAACATTTACTATAATGTATGATATTGTTTTTGTTCTTATGGAAGGTTTGTGTTTTAATTGATAAATTAGTCTTTTCATTTCTTTTTTTGGTATGTTTTTAGCTGTTCCATCAAATATCAATTATGGACAAATTATTGATGATCTTCGTCATTTGAGAGGTGTTCGTAATATACATAGTTTACATATTTGGTCATTATCAACGCAAAAAACAGCATTATCAGTTCATTTAGCAATAGGTATGATATTTTGTTTCATTTAATATTAATATGTTTAATTATAAAAATGTTTTTCTAGATAGTGATCAGGATTTTTTAACAGTCTTAAATGAAGCTCAAGATATACTTCGTCATAAACATTTGATAACAAGAGTTACAATTCAAGTTGAACCATATGAAGAACATATAATGAATTCATGTGAAAATTGTCGTCGACCAGACAGTTAATAAAACAAAATCTAAATCATCGAAATGGCAATACATTACTATTTAAATATATATATATATATAGATCTGTGCTCTTTGGATGTTTGTTTTCGTTTATATTTTTTTGATAGTTTGCTCTTCAAACTACGAGATAAATCTTATTTTATACACCATTGATAATTTTGTAGATGAATTAAAATACAATTTATAATGGGAATCAATGTATTCTATTCTTCTTTTTTAGCTATAGAATAGAGAAAAGACGATGAATATTTTTGATAGATTGACACATGATATCTAATAAATATATTTTGGAATACAAAAATTGTCTTTAGACGTTAAAAAGTTCAAAAAACGAATTCAACTCGATCGAACATAGGATCTTGAAGAAGCGAAAATCATTATAATTGCAGCGTCTTTTAGCAGACAGTATTAGAAATGATAGTTTTTGCTATGGTCATCAAAATCAACAGATTCTGACAATTTCAAACTTTTTTAAGGATTTATTCTCTATGGAAAAGGTGGAGTGATATTATGAAGATAAAATTACTTGAGATTGAAATAAATCATTGGAATGAGAGTATTAGATAGAATGGCTTAGGAGGACTTGTGATAATTACAAAAAAATACACTTATATTTCTATTTGATGAAAAGTAAAGCAAAGACTAGTCGAACTATGTTGCTGTTGAAAATTTTTATAGAAATAAGAAAACCTACGAAATAAATTATTATCATTGAATTAATATGAAATATTTGTACTTTTGTCATCATAAAGAATTTTTGGACATACAAAACATACACCAGACAACTATGAAATAAAAATTTGCACATCAAATTATCGATAGAAGAAATATATGATTAGAAATCAATACATTGAAAATATTGAGTGATATTGAAATCGTCTACAGATCATATGAAATATTATTTGATCAGTAGACAAGAATATTTATACGAAATACATGAAACTTTGAATTGTTATTTGCATAATATATGTTATCAATAGGATGTATGTGATAACCTTGAATAAAATTCGAATATATATTAATAGAGAAAACATCTAAAAATTCCCCATGCTTTTGTATGTAAACGATCAAATAGGTTGATTGAGAAATGATTAATAATCATATTCGACTAATGACTGTTATCGATATGATTAGGCTTTTTTTTTCTTCTTGTCATTTGGTTTCAGATGCAATACAACAGAGAAACGAATACAGGTAACATGTTGTAAAGTAAATATCTATGTCAATACTAAACTGCGCTATTTATTTTTCATTGATGAATGTATAAAACATATGAATCAAATTTTGTGTGTTACTAGATTGTAAACATTGTGAATATTCATATGAGATTGAAAATGATTTTCAAGAAAGTGTTCCATGTGAAATTTGATACTATTTTTATTATGACATTTCTATGAAAATTTTATTATTTCAGATGAATAAATGTAAAAGAAGACTTTTAAAAGTTATTGGGAGAAAAAAAAATTACTTTTTCATATGTTAAAAATGAGACTTTTTTCAAGATCAATCCGATTTATTACTAATTGATTGTTACATGTATATTGATAATGTATGATGTAAAATAAATATTTTGTTAACACAATTATTAAAAAAACAAGTAACATTTTTGATTATCGTACATTGTCATTTACTTATAACATCAGAAAAGAAAATCTACTTATTGTTTATTCCTTGTCATTGTCATGTGTCTAATCACAAGTTTGATTATGCTGCATGAAATCGTTTTACTAGTCTCGTTAGTATTTGTATGGTCATTGATATTTTCAAGATGTTCTTTGATATCCTATTTAACCAAAAGAAAAAAACAAACAAGAAGTTGTTTCTACGGGATGTTCTTTCGAATTGAACAACTGAAATAATTGATGCATCGTTTATGTATATTGATTAGAGGTAGGTGGAGTCAAGTCTTTTCAGTTCGATTTCCAAGCCAACAAACATATCGATTTGTCGCATTTTTTGAGCAAAATTTCAACTCTTTGAAGCATTTTCACTCCTCTTTTTGTTTCTTTCATATATTTTGTGTGGATTTTTCGCTGAAAACTCGATATGTCTGTTTGCTTGAGTGGTCCAGACAATTCAATTTCAACAACATGTCGATCAATTAAAGATGAATCAGCAAATTAAACATTCTTGAACACCATCAAAATCGAGATGATCAACAACAATAGCATCAACAGCCATTGTATTAACATTATTTGGTGCTAATCGACATAACTAATTCACAAAGTGGACCCGAATAAATCATCAGATATATGTAGATCGAACATAAATCGTTTCGAAAATTTCAAACCAATTGATTTAGATTTTTGAATAAATCTTCAACTAAATGTGCCGTTGAAGTTTTCAATCCGAATAGTGCTAATGTTCTATTGATATGTAGGACTCTCTGTCAACATAATGTTTTTATTGATCATCATCTTTATTCATATGTCTTTTCTATTCGTTTATTTATTTCTTACTCATTTTCCTTTCATTATTATCAGTGTTAAGGGTCCACGATGATGACAAAGTATCCAAGAACCTTCCGACGTTTACTTAACACTCTATTTTACACTTTGCTCATGAAAACAAAGTGTCAAGCAGACACTTTGTTTAGAATAATTTATACTTTGCTTTTCATCCTATGCAAGCTTCCTAACTTCTAAATTTTGTAATCAATAGTGATATATTCGATATCCTCATATCTGCCAGCTAATCTTTGGATTTATTGAAACGTTTCTCTGCCTTTCAAATCTTGTTAGTCTTTCATATTTAACACAAACCTTTAGTCAATCTATATGAATGCTTGGTACGAGTTTACTTTAGACACAGTGCTCTAGATATAAAATATCTTCTATGTTTAAAGTAAACTATTGCCGATTTTTATTTTATGTTTCTTTTACCTCGCCTATGAAATATTCGATAAAAGAATTCTTCATCGGATATGACAAAATGACTAAAAATTGTATACTTTTTTTTATTAGCTCTTATGTAAGTAATTGCTAAGAATGTTTCGATTAGGTGTAGCACTTAAACTATTAATTTAAAGTTAAATTAAAATTTTTCATAAGAAATGAGATGCATTTGAAAAAATGATCTTTTAAAATAAATCTTTTTTTTTTTTAATGAAAGAAATACTTTTTTTTGTTGCAAAAAGAAAATTGGGAAGTAAGTCTTTCTTCCAGTAGGAAAGTCCTGATAAATTCATATGAAATATTTCTTTTTTTTAATCTAATTTTAATAATTAACATCTTGGAAACTTTGTGATACTTTGTTTAAAAAAAAACAGAGTGTCATTTTGCACTTTGATGGCAAACATTAAATGTCACTTGCCTTTTTTGTTTTAGATTTCCATTAGAAACACTGCTCGCAACGACCGAATTAACGCTCTAGATCGCTTCGGTCATTTATCATTACTCAATCGTCATCTTCGTTAAAGTTCTCAGATCAAATGAAAGATGTAAAACAAAAACAAAGTTTTTAATTATTTTATTTGTCATAAATCAACGATTGTTTTTTCGTCTATTGATTTAAGTCTTATTTTCTTTGAATGACATCAATAAAGACCATATTAAAAAGTTTTAGAATCATTTGTTCATCATATCTTTTGTCATTTATATTTTTATTCTCTTTTCGTCTCTATTCTATCATCATATGTATTTTTCCTTTCTGTTCTCTCGTCATTGGTATTTTTCCTTTTATCATGTGATCATATGTATTGTTCTGTATACACAAACACTTTCCTTTTCTATTTGTCGGCTCCTAATAGGTGTTTTATTCTTTATATATCTACCTAGGTTATTTTCCTTTAACATCTAATTACTAACCGTATATAAAATAGTCAAAATATCGATAATAAAGACAAAAGACGTATCGTAGACCTATTTACTCTTAGTTGCCAACTTATCTCTATCTATAACCTCATAATCATTCCGTTGTCAAGAACAATATAGTACAATAGATTATATTGACAATAACCAATTCGACGAGTGTCTTATTAATGGCTGATGGCGTCCAAGGAAAGTCATCTTTATTTGGTACCACTAATAATGGCTTCGTAAGTGATGAACTAGTTTCATCGAATGATAAACCTCTTCAAACACAATCATTAAGATCACATTGTCATGTGCCAGATGATAAATTTGATCATAATGCACGAAATCGTCTTATCGCTGTTTTGATTCTTTGTTTTATTTTTACGATTATTGAGCTTGTTGGTATGTTCGTTTATATTGAATTTAAATAAAAAAACAAAAATCTACATATATATAAATTAGGTGGTGTCATTTCGAATTCAACTGCAATAGTAACTGATGCAGCACATATGTGTATTGATGTAGCTGGTTTTCTTATGTCATTAGCAGCCATATATTTGGGTGCGAAACGACCAACAGAAAGACTTTCATATGGTTATTTTCGAGCAGGTTTAATATTTATATATCATAATTTTGGATAGTTAAATACGTTGGAGTTTTTTTTTTCTTCAGAGGTTCTTGGAGCACTTCTAAGTGTATTGATTATATGGTTAACAACTGGTATTCTTGTTTATATGGCAATTGAACGTTGTATTAATCAAAGTTTTGAAGTAAAAACAACTGAAATGATAGTTGTTGCTGCATGTGGAGTTCTTTTCAATATAATGTAAATATGAAATATATATTCTTATTATTTAAAACCTTGAAAGATTTATATTCTTTTTGTTTTTTGGTTTATTCAGAATGATTTTTGTCTTACATACTGATATATGTACTCCTGCAATTCCTCATCACGGACATACTCATAACCATAACCATAGTCACTCACATGAAGATTCACCATCAGTAATTCATATTGAATCTGAACATCATCATGATGAAACTTCTAAACAAACAAAATCATCAAAAAATATCAATATTCGAGCGGCTATTATTCATGTTATTGGTGATTTTGCTGAAAGTGTTGGTGTTCTAGTTGCTGCTATAATTATTAAATTTAAAGTATGTATTAATGATTGAAGTTAATGATATTTATTTTTAAGA